GGTTACTAGTGGCGTTTCTGCTCGACCCGACCCCGATATCTGGTTGTTTACCTGCGCGTATTCAGCGTGTGTTCGGTGGGTTACCAGTGGCTTCTGCTCGACCTAACCCTGTGTCTTGGTTAATTACCTGCGCGCGTTCCACATGCGCTTCTGTGGGTCACTGGTGGCGTATCTACTCGACCTGACCCTGTTGTATTGGCTGTTGCCTGCGCGTGTTCCACGTGTTTTCTGCGGGTTATCGGTGGCGTCTCTGCTCGACCTAACCCTGCTATATTGGTTGTTCCCTGCACCTGTGAGGCGTTCGGTGGGTCACTAGTGGCGTCTCTGCTCGACCTGACCCTGCTATATTGGTTGTTCCCTGCACGTGTACGGCGTTCGGTGGGTCACTAGTGGCATCTCTGCTCGACTTGACCCTACTGGGAGTGCCCCTGTACTTGGCAGCGACTGCTCCTGCGGGTTCGCTCGCTGGGATGCCTGAGCCGTTGGCCTGCCAGTCCTGTCTGGCCCCGATGCAGCAGGACGATGGCCATGTGCTGTGTCCCTCCTGTCTGGGTGTGGACCATCTGCGGGAGGCGTTAACCGAGCGTGCATGTCCCAATTGTGTGGTGATGCCCTGGCCTGTGCGCGTGGCCCGCCTGTCGGCCCTGGACGGACATTTTAGTGGCAATTCTGGGGACTGTGAATCTGCCCTGTTGGTTGACCGACCCCCTGGTCGCAAGCGTGAGGGTGCCCGGGGTGATGACCCTCCGCGGAAGAAGTCGAAGTCCTCTGGTCGTGGGGTTCTGACTTCGAAGGTCGATTCACTCTCTGTGGAGTTGGCTCAGTTGCGGACTGACCTTCAGGCTGGTACTGGCCAGTCTGTGGCCCGACCGGTCTCGGTCCCTTTATCGGTGTGCGATGATGATGATGCTCTCTCGGTGGCTGCATCTGACACACATTTTCGGCCGGGCTCTGATGTTCTGAGCTCCAGGGTCTCGGAGTCTGGTTCGGTGGGTTCTGTCGGGTCTCAGTCGGTTTCCGATGAGCCCGTGACTGCGGCGATCCGAACGGCTCTGGCGCATTTGAAGCTGGATGTGCCTCAGTGCGATGCGGGGCCCTCGAGTGCCTTCTTTCGCCGACAGTCTGCGTCCTCGGGGTTTTCTGTTCCTCCTTCGGCGGAATATGTCAAGGAGCTACATGCCTGTTGGACTGATACACAGGTTTTTTCTAGACCCAATTCGGACGGTCGGGCCCTGGCTTCTATGCAGGCTCCTGAAAAAGTTGGCCTGGGGCATATGCCTGCGGTGGAGCCTGCCATTGCCTCCTTGATTGTGCACCCTGAAGAGGCTCTGCGCACTAATGCCCGGTGCCCTCGGCCGCAGTGTCGGGCCACCGATGACCTGCTCTGCAAGGCGTATGTCATGGGTGCCCGCATGGGCCGCATTGGGAACTCCCTGTCTCATCTGCTGTTGGGGCTGTCCGCTTCTCTGGAGTCTGTCTCGTTGGACCAGTCCACGCAGGGGATGGTGGATGCTTCCTTGCAGGCTTTTGCCTTCATGTCAAGGGAACTTGGGCGTCTCCTCTCTACGCTGGTTCAGACTCGCCGCCAGGTGTGGTTGGCGCAGTCCCCTCTCTCCGAGGCCAGCCGCAGAGTGTTGAGGAGCGTTCCTGTTCTTCCTGGAGAGCTGTTTGGCTCGGCTGCCATTGCGGCTCTGGAGCGCACAGTCCAGGCCACTCAGACCCGGCAGCAGTTGGTGGGACTGCACAGACATGCCTCTCGTGCGTCCGCTTCTGCTGCCCCTGTGCGCGGGCGGGTGGCCCCGCCCCGGAGTTTTTCTGTGCCCCGGGCGGTTGATGGGCCATCGGGTCATGGGCCGTCGGCTCATGGGGCTCGGCGCGGGAACTTTCCCCCGTCTCAGGCTCCACTGCGGCCCAGTCGTCGCCCCCCCCAGGCCCGCTAAAGGCCGGGGTGCCCCCCGGTGAGGCGCCGGGGCCGGCGGTGGGACGGTTTACCCCGGGACAACTCGGTTACTGGAGGGCCCAATCTCCCGATGCATGGGTTGTGGCCACTTTGTCCGTGGGGTATCGTCTCCAGTTCCGCCGCCGGCCTCCTGTTCCCGGCCGGGTCCTTGTGACTGTCATTCAGGACCCGGTCAGGACGCGGGCACTTGTCCAGGAGATGTGGCGGCTACACCCGGAGGTAGTGGTCTCCATTTGGGGGTTGTTCGGCCGGGCGAGGGTGGATCTCTTTGCCTCATTGCCCGCTGTGGTTCTCCCTGATGGAATCCACCAGTCCCCTGGGTCAGGACGCGCTGGCTCACGACTGGCCCAGGGTTCTGCTGTATGCGTTCCCGCCGTTCCCTCTGATCCATCAGACGCTGCTCCGGGTCCTTCAAGAGGGCCACAGGATGATACTGGTGGCCCCGTACTGGCCGGGGAGGACATGGTTTCCCTTGCTGCTCAGGCTCTGCTGCGGCTTGGCGAGGCCCCTTCCCTCCAGGCGGGATCTCCTGTCTCAAGTGTGAGGTTCTGGTTGGTTTCCTCGTGACCTTGCTGATATTCGTCATCCAGTGCTTAAGCACCGCCTCTGGCGGTCAGGAAGGATGAAATAGAACGAGAGTTACGACTGTAACTACGGTTCTATGAATCCTGGATGACCGCCAGAGCGCCCGGTCCCTCGGAATCCTTGTGCGAGAAAGGTTCTAGGGACTGTGCTTCCGGTGTCACGTGGCTTTATAGACTCTCGCGTGAGCTACCGGAGGTCACGGGTGACTTTGTTGTTATTTGACTCTCGACCTGTGCATGCGCGAGGATGATCATCCAGTGCTTAAGCACCGCCTCTGGCGGTCATCCAGGATTCATAGAACAGTAGTTACAGTCGTAACTTTCGTTTCGTTTGCCGTAAACGAAGGTGCTCTCCGGCATGACGTAACTAGACCGTAAATTGAGACGCGCGTCTTTATTTATTATTATTATTATTTTCTTTCTCTTTTAGTAGGGCTTCATGTTCCAACCTACAAAGGACAAGTATTAGTTTGATTGTTTGATTGCTTGATTTAAATGTGTAATACATATAATGTATTTATTTTTATATTGCCCTGTACTATGTTACAATTATGACTATTGCAACTTAAATATAGTCCTTTTGTTAACTAAACAGCAGACTGAGACACTTCGGTTTTTGTGATGCTTCTTTTATATGTGTGTGTGTGTGCTCTTATGTGTATGTTTATATGTATGTTTACAGGCTCTCTTGTCACTCTATCCTCCATCACGTCCCCTTTCTACCCCAAACGGACCATGGTTAATTTGGCCCTGTTTATACTGAGACGCTGCGCAGACGTTTCCAGGCTATTAACAGAAACGACCTGGCTCCTAATGCAAATTTCTCAGTGTTCACATGAGGTTGAAAAATGATGTAGTTCTAGCGCCCGGCCAGTAGTGGGCAGAGAAACTTTACAACACTCACACGACCCCCAGCCCCGTGCCCAGCCCCCTCTCGGCAGTGTACTCACTTCCTGTGCCAGACCCTCAGAACGCACCAACATCATTCTGCATTTTAACAGCATCTGTGAAAATGGAAACTGAACCTAGAGCTTCGCGTGGTCTCGTTTGGACGAACGAAGGAGTAGAATTATCCTCTGTGCCGCGCTGGAAGCCCACGAAGCTAGTTAGTGTGACCGCCGCCATTGTTGTTGATGTTTGTTCTCCGCTACTGCGCATGTCCAAATTTACGTGCGGGGAGCAGCGCGGAGGCGGGGGTCAGAGCAGCTGGAGGTGGGGGTCAGAGCAGAGGGGGATTTCACACCTTTCTCCCTCTCGCAGGTGTGAAAGAGCCCCCGCTGTGCAGCGTTTCTGAGTTGTCCCACTCTGCAGGCTGGATCTGAACACTTACGTTTTCACCTGGAACACAGTCTTCGTATGAACGGTTGATAGAAACCGACATCCAACTATACCGTTTTACTGCCACATTGTCTCCGTGTAAACTCAGCCTCAATCTTCGGAATACCCCATATGGGTAAAGGTCTCTTTATAGTTCATCTGAATATCAGAAGTCTCTTTCCTAAAAGAGACTTGGCTTTCTAAGAATATTTCTGACGACGACATTAGGCTAGAAAACTACAAACTGTATAGAACTGACAGAGGGTCTAGAGGTGGTGGTGTTGCGACATATGTTTCTTCTCATCTTAAGTCACAACTTGTTTCTGTTGACTCTCCTGCGCACTTCGAAGCTCTATTTATCAAGATTTTTCTCCATGAAAACAAACATATGATTGTGGGAAATATATATAGACTAATTCTCCCAAATCTGAATCTGTGAATAATATTCTGTCTACTGTATCCTCCCTGATGAGTAATTGTGAGCTGGTCCTTATGGGTGATTTTAATATTAACTGGCTTGACTCTTCCACATTTGGTGAACAGAACTTGTTTAATGGCTTAAATTTGACACAACTTATTACTGAACCTACTAGAGTTACTCCTACTTCTAAATCAGAGTCTGGAATTCTTCCAGACTGTTTTAGCGATCACTGTATGATTTACTGTAAATGGAAAATTTCAAAGCCTCTACTTCCTCCAAAATTGATTAAGATACGACAGTTCAAAACATTTAATACAGTTTTATTTCTGACTTACAATTAATCAACTGGAATAGACTTGACTTGATCCCAAACATAGATGATGCCTGGAACTTTTTCTATTCCGAACTTGTGAGAGTTGATGATAAACATGCTCCGTGGACCATAATCAGAGTGAAAGGATCACATCTACCTTGGATTGATGGGGAGATAATTAATCTGTTCAAACTGAGAGACAGGGCATGGAGTACATTCCACCAAACTAAACTTCCTGCTGACTGGGAAAAGTACAGACAGTTGAGAAATGTTTGTACCACCAAAACTAGAAACTCCAGGGCTAACTACTATAGAAACAGTTTGACCAACAATTTTAAAAATCCAAAACAGTTCTGGAAACAAATGAATAGTGTGCTTGGGAAATCCAGTACGACCACAAACAATATGATCATTAACAATGAGGTCTCCAATGACCCTTCCACTATAGCCAATGACCCTTCCACTATAGCCAATGACCCTTCCACTACAGCCAATGACCCTTCCACTACAGCCAATGACCCTTCCACTATAGCCAATGACCCTTCCACTATAGCCAATGACCCTTCCACTACAGCCAATGACCCTTCCACTATAGCCAATGACCCTTCCACTATAGCCAATGACCCTTCCACTACAGCCAATGACCCTTCCACTACAGCCAATGACCCTTCCACTATAGCCAATGACCCTTCCACTATAGCCAATGACCCTTCCACTACAGCCAATGACCCTTCCACTACAGCCAATGACCCTTCCACTATAGCCAATGACCCTTCCACTACAGCCAATGACCCTTCCACTATAGCCAATGACCCTTCCACTATAGCCAATGACCCTTCCACTATAGCCAATGACCCTTCCACTATAGCCAATGACCCTTCCACTATAGCCAATGACCCTTCCACTACAGCCAATGACCCTTCCACTACAGCCAATGACCCTTCCACTATAGCCAATGACCCTTCCACTATAGCCAATGACCCTTCCACTACAGCCAATGACCCTTCCACTACAGCCAATGACCCTTCCACTACAGCCAATGACCCTTCCACTATAGCCAATGACCCTTCCACTATAGCCAATGACCCTTCCACTATAGCCAATGACCCTTCCACTACAGCCAATGACCCTTCCACTACAGCCAATGACCCTTCCACTATAGCCAATGACCCTTCCACTATAGCCAATGACCCTTCCACTATAGCCAATGACCCTTCCACTATAGCCAATGACCCTTCCACTACAGCCAATGACCCTTCCACTATAGCCAATGACCCTTCCACTATAGCCAATGACCCTTCCACTATAGCCAATGACCCTTCCACTATAGCCAATGACCCTTCCACTACAGCCAATGACCCTTCCACTATAGCCAATGACCCTTCCACTATAGCCAATGACCCTTCCACTATAGCCAATGACCCTTCCACTATAGCCAATGACCCTTCCACTACAGCCAATGACCCTTCCACTATAGCCAATGACCCTTCCACTATAGCCAATGACCCTTCCACTATAGCCAATGACCCTTCCACTATAGCCAATGACCCTTCCACTATAGCCAATGACCCTTCCACTATAGCCAATGACCCTTCCACTATAGCCAATGACCCTTCCACTATAGCCAATGACCCTTCCACTACAGCCAATGACCCTTCCACTACAGCCAATGACCCTTCCACTATAGCCAATGACCCTTCCACTATAGCCAATGACCCTTCCACTACAGCCAATGACCCTTCCACTATAGCCAATGACCCTTCCACTACAGCCAATGACCCTTCCACTACAGCCAATGACCCTTCCACTATAGCCAATGACCCTTCCACTATAGCCAATGACCCTTCCACTACAGCCAATGACCCTTCCACTATAGCCAATGACCCTTCCACTATAGCCAATGACCCTTCCACTACAGCCAATGACCCTTCCACTACAGCCAATGACCCTTCCACTATAGCCAATGACCCTTCCACTATAGCCAATGACCCTTCCACTATAGCCAATGACCCTTCCACTACAGCCAATGACCCTTCCACTACAGCCAATGACCCTTCCACTATAGCCAATGACCCTTCCACTATAGCCAATGACCCTTCCACTATAGCCAATGACCCTTCCACTATAGCCAATGACCTTTCCACTATAGCCAATGACCCTTCCACTATAGCCAATGACCCTTCCACTATAGCCAATGACACTTCCACTATAGCCAATGACCCTTCCACTACAGCCAATGACCCTTCCACTACAGCCAATGACCCTTCCACTATAGCCAATGACCCTTCCACTATAGCCAATGACCCTTCCACTATAGCCAATGACCCTTCCACTATAGCCAATGACCCTTCCACTATAGCCAATGACCCTTCCACTACAGCCAATGACCCTTCCACTACAGCCAATGACCCTTCCACTATAGCCAATGACCCTTCCACTACAGCCAATGACCCTTCCACTACAGCCAATGACCCTTCCACTACAGCCAATGACCCTTCCACTATAGCCAATGACCCTTCCACTATAGCCAATGACCCTTCCACTATAGCCAATGACCCTTCCACTATAGCCAATGACCCTTCCACTACAGCCAATGACCCTTCCACTACAGCCAATGACCCTTCCACTATAGCCAATGACCCTTCCACTATAGCCAATGACCCTTCCACTACAGCCAATGACCCTTCCACTACAGCCAATGACCCTTCCACTACAGCCAATGACCCTTCCACTATAGCCAATGACCCTTCCACTATAGCCAATGACCCTTCCACTATAGCCAATGACCCTTCCACTACAGCCAATGACCCTTCCACTACAGCCAATGACCCTTCCACTATAGCCAATGACCCTTCCACTATAGCCAATGACCCTTCCACTATAGCCAATGACCCTTCCACTATAGCCAATGACCCTTCCACTACAGCCAATGACCCTTCCACTATAGCCAATGACCCTTCCACTATAGCCAATGACCCTTCCACTATAGCCAATGACCCTTCCACTATAGCCAATGACCCTTCCACTACAGCCAATGACCCTTCCACTATAGCCAATGACCCTTCCACTATAGCCAATGACCCTTCCACTATAGCCAATGACCCTTCCACTATAGCCAATGACCCTTCCACTACAGCCAATGACCCTTCCACTATAGCCAATGACCCTTCCACTATAGCCAATGACCCTTCCACTATAGCCAATGACCCTTCCACTATAGCCAATGACCCTTCCACTATAGCCAATGACCCTTCCACTATAGCCAATGACCCTTCCACTATAGCCAATGACCCTTCCACTATAGCCAATGACCCTTCCACTACAGCCAATGACCCTTCCACTACAGCCAATGACCCTTCCACTATAGCCAATGACCCTTCCACTATAGCCAATGACCCTTCCACTACAGCCAATGACCCTTCCACTATAGCCAATGACCCTTCCACTACAGCCAATGACCCTTCCACTACAGCCAATGACCCTTCCACTATAGCCAATGACCCTTCCACTATAGCCAATGACCCTTCCACTACAGCCAATGACCCTTCCACTATAGCCAATGACCCTTCCACTATAGCCAATGACCCTTCCACTACAGCCAATGACCCTTCCACTACAGCCAATGACCCTTCCACTATAGCCAATGACCCTTCCACTATAGCCAATGACCCTTCCACTATAGCCAATGACCCTTCCACTACAGCCAATGACCCTTCCACTACAGCCAATGACCCTTCCACTATAGCCAATGACCCTTCCACTATAGCCAATGACCCTTCCACTATAGCCAATGACCCTTCCACTATAGCCAATGACCTTTCCACTATAGCCAATGACCCTTCCACTATAGCCAATGACCCTTCCACTATAGCCAATGACACTTCCACTATAGCCAATGACCCTTCCACTACAGCCAATGACCCTTCCACTACAGCCAATGACCCTTCCACTATAGCCAATGACCCTTCCACTATAGCCAATGACCCTTCCACTATAGCCAATGACCCTTCCACTATAGCCAATGACCCTTCCACTATAGCCAATGACCCTTCCACTACAGCCAATGACCCTTCCACTACAGCCAATGACCCTTCCACTATAGCCAATGACCCTTCCACTACAGCCAATGACCCTTCCACTACAGCCAATGACCCTTCCACTACAGCCAATGACCCTTCCACTATAGCCAATGACCCTTCCACTATAGCCAATGACCCTTCCACTATAGCCAATGACCCTTCCACTATAGCCAATGACCCTTCCACTATAGCCAATGACCCTTCCACTACAGCCAATGACCCTTCCACTACAGCCAATGACCCTTCCACTATAGCCAATGCCTTCAGCTTGCACTTTTCACAAACGCCACAGGTCCATCCCCTCTTTCATCAAGTTGTTCCGGATCGCCAGCCGTGCAACAGTTCATTCTCTTTCACCGAGGTTAGTCCTGATGGTATTGAGAGCAAATTTCTTAAAATCAGATTCAGATTCTGATTCATGTTATTAGCCATGTGCAGTATAAAAACTACATTGGAATACATTTGCAAAGAAAGGTACTCCGACAGAATAAAGAGCACGATACAATGAATATAAAATACACAAACACTGAATATAAAAGAATAAAAAAAACAGCCGACACTGTGGCACCGATCAACAAAACGATACAAGGGTAAAAGCAGGAATTAAAGTGCTCTGTTTAGGCACCGAACAGCCTGTGGAAAGAAGCTGTTAGCATAGCGAGATGTCTTGCATCTCAGCGACCGATATCTTCTGCCAGAGGGAAGAAGCTGGAACATGGCTTTCCCGGGGTGGCCAGAAGAGTCATTAACAATCCTAAGAGCTTTGTTTAAAAGTCTGGATTTATAAAGAACCTCCAGAACAGGAAGCTCACAGCCCACGGTCCTCTCTCTGGTCTCTCTCTGGTCTCTCTCTGGTCTCTCTCTGGTCTCTCTCTGGTCTCTCTCTCTGGTCTCTCTCTGGTCTCTCTCTGGTCTCTCTCTGGTCTCTCTCTGGTCTCTCTCTAATCTCTCTCTGGTCTCTCTCTGGTCTCTCTCTGGTCTCTCTCTGGTCTCTCTCTAATCTCTCTCTGGTCTCTCTCTGGTCTCTCTCTGGTCTCTCTCTGGTCTCTCTCTGGTCTCTCTCTGGTCTCTCTCTGGTCTCTCTCTGGTCTCTCTCTGGTCTCTCTCTGGTCTCTCTCTGGTCTCTCTCTGGTCTCTCTCTGGTCTCTCTCTCTGGTCTCTCTCTGGTCTCTCTCTGGTCTCTCTCTGGTCTCTCTCTGGTCTCTCTCTGGTCTCTCTCTGGTCTCTCTCTAATCTCTCTCTGGTCTCTCTCTGGTCTCTCTCTGGTCTCTCTCTAGTCTCTCTCTGGTCTCTCTCTGGTCTCACAGCCTACAGTCCTCTTTGCAGAGCGGAGCACCTTGTTTAAAGCTCTCTTTTCTTTATCTGTGATGTTTCCAAACCACACAGACACAGAACCAACAAGTAAACTCTCAATGGTGCAGCGATAAAAGCTAAGCAGAATCTTAGAGTTAGTGGTAAATTCTCTAAGTTTCCGCAAAAAGAAGAGCCGCTGACGTGCTTTCTTAACAACCCGGTTAGTATTTTTGTCCCAAATAGGTGCACATGTCCTGGCTTCTCCACTGGCCTCACTTTTTAATGTATCTCTTTCCAGCTGTAATGTCCCTCAACCATGGAAATGTGCAAAAGTAAGACCCTTACATAAATCAGGTTCCACTGACAGCATCAATAACTACAGACCCATTTCCATTATCAACAGTATCGTCAAAATATTTGAGAAATTAATTTTTATTCAACTTTCAACCTATCTCACCAATAACAACCTATTATCCCAATCTCAATCAGGATTTAGAAAGCATTTCAGTACAACTACTGCCCTCCTGAAATTTACAAATGATGTGTTTTCTAGTTTTGATAAAAGTATGTTCACTGGTGCATTATTTCTTGATTTGACGAAAGCTTTTGACTTGGTTGACCATTATTTACTTTTGGACAAACTCCACAGCATTGGCCTCTCCTGACCAGCACTTCTCTGGTTCAACTCCGCCCTGCACTCCCGTCGCCAGTGTGTTTCCTTTGGGGGCAGCCAGTCCAACTTCACAGTCATTGAAAAAGGCGTTCCACAAGGCTCCTCACTTGGTCCTCTTCTCTTCTCTATCTTTATTAATGATCTCCCGACTATCTGTTCCAACTGCACTATTGAACTTTATGCTGATGACACTGTTATTTACTGTTCCAATTCTAATATCCCTGACATCTGTAACTCTTTATAACACAACTTTGACATTGTTCAACACTGGCTCCTTTCTAACAAACTTCTGCTCAACAAGACCAAATCCTACTCCATGCTTTTCAAGAAGACCAATAAACCTCTCCCCGATTTAAATCTCCACTTTCTAGATCTGTCCCTAGTCAAATGTGTGGACAACCTTAAGTATCTTGGTCTTTGGCTAGACTCTAATCTTTCTTTCAATACCCATATTCACAAAACTGTACACAAAATTAACTATTCACTGAAAACACTTTATCAATCCATCGACTGCTTTAATTTATCTGCACTTCTACTACTTTATCATACTTCCCATATTAGACTATGCAGACATAGTTTATCAAATACCACCTCCACTTCTCTCTATCCTCTGAACACTGCCTACAACAGCCTACAACAGCCTACAACAGCCTGTGCAGGTTCATTCTGCACTGCCCCTACAGGACCCACTGTGACACCAGCAGCTGCCCTACAGACAGACCTACAGACAGGCCTACAGACAGACCTACACACAGACCTACAGACAGGTCTACACACAGACCTACAGACAGACCTACAGGACCCATGACTGTGACACCAGCAGCTGTCCTACAGACAGACCTACAGACAGACCTACAGACAGGCCTACACACAGACCTACAGACAGACCTACACACAGGCCTACAGACAGACCTACAGACAGGCCTACAGACAGACCTACAGGACCCATGACTGTGACACCAGCAGCTGTCCTACACACAGACCTACACACAGACCTACAGACAGGCCTACAAGACCCATGACTGTGACACCAGCAGCTGTCCTACACACAGACCTACAGGACCCATGACTGTGACACCAGCAGCTGTCCTACACACAGACCTACAGACAGGCCTACAGACATACCGACACCCAGACCTACAGACAGACCTACAGGACCCATCACTGTGACACCAGCAGCTGTCCTACAGCCAGGCCTACACACAGACCTACAGACATACCTACAGACAGGCCTACAGACATACCTACACCCAGACCTACAGACAGACCTACAGGACCCATGACTGTGACACCAGCAGCTGTCCTACACACAGACCTACAGACAGACCTACAGACAGGCCTACAGACATACCTACACCCAGACCTACAGACAGACCTACAGGACCCATCACTGTGACACCAGCAGCTGTCCTACACACAGACCTACAGACAGACCTACAGACAGACCTACAGACAGACCTACAGGACCCATCACTGTGACACCAGCAGCTGTCCTACAGACAGACCTACAGACAGACCTACACGCAGACCTACAGACAGACCTACAGGACCTATCACTGTGACACCAGCAGCTGTCCTACAGACAGACCTACGGACAGGCCTACAGGACCCATCACTGTGACACCAGCAGCTGTCCTACAGACAGACCTACAGACAGACCTACAGGACCCATCACTGTGACACCAGCAGCTGTCCTACAGACAGACCTACAGACAGACCTACACGCAGACCTACAGACAGACCTACAGGACCCATCACTGTGACACCAGCAGCTGTCCTACAGACAGACCTACGGACAGGCCTACAGGACCCATCACTGTGACACCAGCAGCTGTCCTACAGACAGACCTACAGACAGGCCTACAGGACCCATCACTGTGACACCAGCAGCTGTCCTACAGACAGACCTACAGACAGACCTACAGGACCCATCACTGTGACACCAGCAGCTGTCCTACAGACAGACCTACAGACAGGCCTACAGGACCCATCACTGTGACACCAGCAGCTGTCCTACAGACAGACCTACAGACAGACCTACAGACAGACCTACAGACAGACCTACAGACAGGCCTACAGGACCCATCACTGTGACACCAGCAGCTGTCCTACAGACAGACCTACAGACAGGCCTACAGGACCCATCACTGTGACACCAGCAGCTGTCCTACACACAGACCTACAGACAGACCTACAGGACCCATCACTGTGACACCAGCAGCTGTCCTACACACAGACCTACAGACAGACCTACAGGACCCATCACTGTGACACCAGCAGCTGTCCTACAGACAGACCTACAGACAGACCTACACACAGACCTACAGACAGACCTACAGACAGACCTACAGACAGACCTACAGACAGGCCTACAGGACCCATCACTGTGACACCAGCAGCTGTCCTACACACAGACCTACAGACAGACCTACAGACAGACCTACAGACAGACCTACAGACAGACCTACAGGACCCATCACTGTGACACCAGCAGCTGTCCTACAGACATACCTACAGACAGACCTACACACAGACCTACAGACAGACCTACAGACAGACCTACAGACAGACCTACACACAGACCTACACACAGACCTACAGGACCCATCACTGTGACACCAGCAGCTGTCCTACAGACAGACCTACAGACAGACCTACAGACAGACCTACACACAGACCTACAGACAGACCTACAGACAGACCTATAGACAGACCTACAGACAGGCCTACAGACAGACCTACACACAGACCTACAGACAGGCCTACAGGACCCATCACTGTGACACCAGCAGCTGTCCTACAGACAGACCTACAGACAGGCCTACAGGACCCATCACTGTGACACCAGCAGCTGTCCTACAGACAGACCTACAGACAGACCTACAGACAGACCTACACACAGACCTACAGACAGACCTACAGACAGACCTATAGACAGACCTACAGACAGGCCTACAGACAGACCTACACACAGACCTACAGACAGGCCTACAGGACCCATCACTGTGACACCAGCAGCTGTCCTACAGACAGACCTACAGACAGGCCTACAGGACCCATCACTGTGACACCAGCAGCTGTCCTACAGACAGACCTACAGGACCCATCACTGTGACACCAGCAGCTGTCCTACAGACAGACCTACAGACAGGCCTACAGGACCCATCACTGTGACACCAGCAGCTGTCCTACAGACAGGCCTACAGGACCCATCACTGTGACACCAGCAGCTGTCCTACAGACAGACCTACAGACAGGCCTACAGGACCCATCACTGTGACACCAGCAGCTGTCCTACAGACAGACCTACACACAGACCTACAGACAGACCTACAGACAGGCCTACAGGACCCATCACTGTGACACCAGCAGCTGTCCTACAGACAGACCTACAGACAGACCTACAGACAGACCTACAGACAGACCTACAGACAGACCTACAGACAGACCTAGAGACAGACCTACAGACAGACCTACAGACAGGCCTACAGGACCCATCACTGTGACACCAGCAGCTGTCCTACACACAGACCTACAGACAGGCCTACACACAGACCTACAGACAGACCTACAGACAGGCCTACAGGACCCATCACTGTGACACCAGCAGCTGTCCTACACACAGACCTACAGACAGACCTACAGACAGTCCTACAGACAGACCTACAGACAGGCCTACAGACAGACCTACAGACAGTCCTACAGACAGACCTACAGACAGGCCTACAGGACCCATCACTGTGACACCAGCAGCTGTCCTGGTTCTCTCTGTCCCAAAGACGTCACTGTCACTCGTTGTTTTTCATTTATAAATGTTATTTTTTGGATTATCCTCTTTATTTAAAGCAATATTTAACACCTTTTAATTCCTCTTATAATCTTCGTCACACAAACCAGCTTTTCTTTCACACTCCTCATGTAAAAAAAGAATATGCTTTCCAATATAAAGCCCCAAACGACTGAATCTCCTCCGGCCTCTCTTCGCTCTCTAACTTCTTCTTCTCTTTTTAAAGCTGCTGCACAAAGGCATCAGTGTAATGTTTGTCACTGCTACTGAACTTTCTTTAAAACACTATATCCTTTGGTTTTCACTGTAGGGTGACCTCTGACCTCTGAGAGCTCTGTGTGTGTGTGTGAGTGAATGTTTCTGTCCTTGTATTCTAGTCTCTACTGAGCGGTCCGTTTGTGCGTCTCTACAGAGCGGTCCGTTTGTGCGTCTCTACTGAGCGGTCCGTTTGTGCGTCTCTACAGAGCGGTCTGTTTGTGCGTCTCTACTGAGCGGTCCGTTTGTGCGTCTCTACAGAGCGGTCCGTTTGTGCGTCTCTACAGAGCGGTCCGTTTGTGCGTCTCTACTGAGCGGTCCGTTTGTGCGTCTCTACTGAGCGGTCCGTTTGTGCGTCTCTACAGAGCGGTCCGTTTGCGCGTCTCTACAGAGCGGTCCGTTTGTGCGTCTCTACAGAGCGGTCCGTTTGCGCGTCTCTACAGAGCGGTCCGTTTGTGCGTCTCTACTGAGCGGTCCGTTTGTGCGTCTCTACAGAGCGGTCCGTTTGTGCGTCTCTACTGAGCGGTCCGTTTGTGCGTCTCTACAGAGCGGTCCGTTTGTGCGTCTCTACAGAGCGGTCCGTTTGTGCGTCTCTACTGAGCGGTCCGTTTGTGCGTCTCTACTGAGCGGTCCGTTTGTGCGTCTCTACTGAGCGGTCCGTTTGTGCGTCTCTACTGAGCGGTCCGTTTGTGCGTCTCTACTGAGCGGTCCGTTTGTGCGTCTCTACAGAGCGGTCCGTTTGTGCGTCTCTACAGAGCGGTCCGTTTGTGCGTCTCTACTGAGCGGTCCGTTTGTGCGTCTCTACAGAGCGGTCCGTTTGTGCGTCTCTACTGAGCGGTCCGTTTGTGCGTCTCTACTGAGCGGTCCGTTTGTGCGTCTCTACAGAGCGGTCCGTTTGTGCGTCTCTACAGAGCGGTCCGTTTGTGCGTCTCTACTGAGCGGTCCGTTTGTGCGTCTCTACAGAGCGGTCCGTTTGTGCGTCTCTACAGAGCGGTCCGTTTGTGCGTCTCTACAGAGCGGTCCGTTTGTGTGTCTCTACTGAGCGGTCCGTTGGTGCGTCTCTACAGAGCGGTCCGTTTGTGCGTCTCTACAGAGCGGTCCGTTTGTGCGTCTCTACTGAGCGGTCCGTTTGTGCGTCTCTACAGAGCGGTCCGTTTGTGCGTCTCTACTGAGCGGTCCGTTTGTGCGTCTCTACAGAGCGGTCCGTTTGTGCGTCTCTACAGAGCGGTCCGTTTGTGCGTCTCTACAGAGCGGTCCGTTTGTGCGTCTCTACTGAGCGGTCCGTTTGTGCGTCTCTACTGAGCGGTCCGTTTGTGCGTCTCTACTGAGCGGTCCGTTTGTGCGTCTCTACAGAGCGGTCCGTTTGTGCGTCTCTACTGAGCGGTCCGTTTGTGCGTCTCTACTGAGCGGTCCGTTTGTGCGTCTCTACTGAGCGGTCCGTTTGTGCGTCTCTACAGAGCGGTCCGTTTGTGCGTCTCTACAGAGCGGTCCGTTTGTGCGTCTCTACTGAGCGGTCCGTTTGTGCGTCTCTTAATGCATCATCTCAAGAAATGCTGCACACGTTGTTTATATTTTCAGTGATTTCATATTAAGTGGGGTCTAGTCGAGTCAGCCAGACCATGTGAGGAATGCAGAGCTCCCCCAGCCAGATAAGAGTTGTTTGGAGAAGGAGATTGATGTCAGACCAGACCAAGACCAGACCAGACAGAGTCCGGAGTCCAATGGGCTAGCTGGAGTACGCGCCTCCCAAAACCAGAAAAAGCTGGATCAGACTGGACCAGTCTGGGACCTGTGACGTCATCAGACCTTCTGATAGAAACTGCTGGGAGGACATTTTCAGGCAGTCTGAGCAGGGATAGTTAGACAGGGAACATCGCAGAGCGCCTGGATGTCCCCTGCACATTTTTCAGGCCTGGAGGGACAGTTAGAATGGCTCAGCATAGGGTTAGTTTTAGGGGAATTTAGGGCTCCGAGAGTTTTGTATCAACATTTAATTGTAAAGAGAATTAAATGTTCTATTTTTAACTCCTGCATTCTTGGCCTTATTTCTGTACCAAATTCTGAACACGTCAGTCAAATCATTTTTGACAACACTCTACAGAGCGGTCCGTGTGTGCGTCTCTACAGAGCGGTCCGTTTGTGCGTCTCTACAGAGCGGTCCGTTTGTGCGTCTCTACTGAGCGGTCCGTCTGTGCGTCTCTACTGAGCGGTCCGTTTGTGCGTCTCTACTGAGCGGTCCGTTTGTGCGTCTCTACAGAGCGGTCCGTTTGTGCGTCTCTACTGAGCGGTCCGTTTGTGCGTCTCTACTGAGCGGTCCGTTTGTGCGTCTCTACAGAGCGGTCCGTTTGTGCGTCTCTACTGAGCGGTCCGTTTGCGTCTCTACAGTGCGTCTCTACTGAGCGGTCCGTTTGTGCGTCTCTACTGTCTCTACTGAGCGGTCCGTTTGTGCGTCTCTACTGAGCGTTTGTGCCTCTACAGAGCGGTCCGTTTGTGCGTCTCTACTGAGCGCGTCTCTACAGAGCGGTCCGTTTGTGCGTCTCTACAGAGCGGTCCGTTTGTGCGTCTCTACTGAGCGGTCCGTTTGTGCGTCTCTACTAGCGGTCCGTTTGTGCGTCTCTACAGAGCGGTCCGTTTGTGCGTCTCTACAGAGACAGAGCGGTCCGTTTGTGCGTCTCTACAGAGCGGTCCGTTTGTGCGTCTCTACAGAGCGGTCCGTTTGTGCGTCTCTACAGAGCGGTCCGTTTGTGCGTCTCTACAGAGCGGTCCGTTTGTGCGTCTCTACAGAGCGGTCCGTTTGTGCGTCTCTACAGAGCGGTCCGTTTGTGCGTCTCTACTGAGCGGTCCGTTTGTGCGTCTCTACAGAGCGGTCCGTTTGTGCGTCTCTACAGAGCGGTCCGTTTGTGCGTCTCTACAGAGCGGTCCGTTTGTGCGTCTCTACAGAGCGGTCCGTTTGTGCGTCTCTACAGAGCGGTCCGTTTTGTGCGTCTCTACAGAGCGGTCCGTTTGTGCGTCTCTACAGAGCGGTCCGTTTGTGCGTCTCTACTGAGCGGTCCGTTTGTGCGTCTCTACTGAGCGGTCCGTTTGTGCGTCTCTACAGAGCGGTCCGTTTGTGCGTCTCTACAGAGCGGTCCGTTTGTGAGTGCGTCTCTACAGAGCGGTCCGTTTGTGCGTCTCTACAGAGCGGTCCGTTTGTGCGTCTCTACTGAGCGGTCCGTTTGTGCGTCTCTACTACGAGCGGTCCGTTTGTGCGTCTCTACAGAGCGGTCCGTTTGTGCGTCTCTACAGAGCGGTCCGTTTGTGCGTCTCTACTGAGCGGTCCGTTTGTGCGTCTCTACTGAGCGGTCCGTTTGTGCGTCTCTACAGAGCGGTCCGTTTGTGCGTCTCTACAGAGCGGTCCGTTTGTGCGTCTCTACAGAGCGGTCCGTTTGTGCGTCTCTACAGAGCGGTCCGTTTGTGCGTCTCTACAGAGCGGTCCGTTTGTGCGTCTCTACAGAGCGGTCCGTTTGTGCGTCTCTACTGAGCGGTCCGTTTGTGCGTCTCTACAGAGCGGTCCGTTTGTGCGTCTCTACTGAGCGGTCCGTTTGTGCGTCTCTACAGAGCGGTCCGTTTGTGCGTCTCTACTGAGCGGTCCGTTTGTGCGTCTCTACTGAGCGGTCCGTTTGTGCGTCTCTACAGAGCGGTCCGTTTGTGCGTCTCTACTGAGCGGTCCGTTTGTGCGTCTCTACAGAGCGGTCCGTTTGTGCGTCTCTACAGAGCGGTCCGTTTGTGCGTCTCTACAGAGCGGTCCGTTTGTGCGTCTCTACAGAGCGGTCCGTTTGTGCGTCTCTACAGAGCGGTCCGTTTGTGCGTCTCTACAGAGCGGTCCGTTTGTGCGTCTCTACAGAGCGGTCCGTTTGTGCGTCTCTACTGAGCGGTCCGTTTGTGCGTCTCTACTGAGCGGTCCGTTTGTGCGTCTCTACTGAGCGGTCCGTTTGTGCGTCTCTACAGAGCGGTCCGTTTGTGCGTCTCTACTCTCAGAGCGGTCCGTTTGTGCGTCTCTACAGAGCGGTCCGTTTGTGCGTCTCTACAGAGCGGTCCGTTTGTGCGTCTCTACAGAGCGGTCCGTTTGTGCGTCTCTACAGAGCGGTCCGTTTGTGCGTCTCTACAGAGCGGTCCGTTTGTGCGTCTCTACTGAGCGGTCCGTTTGTGCGTCTCTACAGAGCGGTCCGTTTGTGCGTCTCTACTGAGCGGTCCGTTTGTGCGTCTCTACAGAGCGGTCCGTTTGTGCGTCTCTACAGAGCGGTCCGTTTGTGCGTCTCTACTGAGCGGTCCGTTTGTGCGTCTCTACTGAGCGGTCCGTTTGTGCGTCTCTACAGAGCGGTCCGTTTGTGCGTCTCTACTGAGCGGTCCGTTTGTGCGTCTCTACAGAGCGGTCCGTTTGTGCGTCTCTACTGAGCGGTCCGTTTGTGCGTCTCTACAGAGCGGTCCGTTTGTGCGTCTCTACAGAGCGGTCCGTTTGTGCGTCTCTACAGAGCGGTCCGTTTGTGCGTCTCTACAGAGCGGTCCGTTTGTGCGTCTCTACAGAGCGGTCCGTTTGTGCGTCTCTACAGAGCGGTCCGTTTGTGCGTCTCTACAGAGCGGTCCGTTTGTGCGTCTCTACAGAGCGGTCCGTTTGTGCGTCTCTACTGAGCGGTCCGTTTGTGCGTCTCTACTGAGCGGTCCGTTTGTGCGTCTCTACTGAGCGGTCCGTTTGTGCGTCTCTACAGAGCGGTCCGTTTGTGCGTCTCTACAGAGCGGTCCGTTTGTGCGTCTCTACAGAGCGGTCCGTTTGTGCGTCTCTACAGAGCGGTCCGTTTGTGCGTCTCTACTGAGCGGTCCGTTTGTGCGTCTCTACTGAGCGGTCCGTTTGTGCGTCTCTACAGAGCGGTCCGTTTGTGCGTCTCTACTGAGCGGTCCGTTTGTGCGTCTCTACAGAGCGGTCCGTTTGTGCGTCTCTACAGAGCGGTCCGTTTGTGCGTCTCTACAGAGCGGTCCGTTTGTGCGTCTCTACTGAGCGGTCCGTTTGTGCGTCTCTACTGAGCGGTCCGTTTGTGCGTCTCTACAGAGCGGTCCGTTTGTGCGTCTCTACTGAGCGGTCCGTTTGTGCGTCTCTACAGAGCGGTCCGTTTGTGCGTCTCTACAGAGCGGTCCGTTTGTGCGTCTCTACAGAGCGGTCCGTTTGTGCGTCTCTACAGAGCGGTCCGTTTGTGCGTCTCTACTGAGCGGTCCGTTTGTGCGTCTCTACAGAGCGGTCCGTTTGTGCGTCTCTACAGAGCGGTCCGTTTGTGCGTCTCTACAGAGCGGTCCGTTTGTGCGTCTCTACTGAGCGGTCCGTTTGTGCGTCTCTACAGAGCGGTCCGTTTGTGCGTCTCTACTGAGCGGTCCGTTTGTGCGTCTCTACTGAGCGGTCCGTTTGTGCGTCTCTACAGAGCGGTCCGTTTGTGCGTCTCTACAGAGCGGTCCGTTTGTGCGTCTCTACTGAGCGGTCCGTTTGTGCGTCTCTACAGAGCGGTCCGTTTGTGCGTCTCTACAGAGCGGTCCGTTTGTGCGTCTCTACAGAGCGGTCCGTTTGTGCGTCTCTACAGAGCGGTCCGTTTGTGCGTCTCTACAGAGCGGTCCGTTTGTGCGTCTCTACTGAGCGGTCCGTTTGTGCGTCTCTACTGAGCGGTCCGTTTGTGCGTCTCTACTGAGCGGTCCGTTTGTGCGTCTCTACAGAGCGGTCCGTTTGTGCGTCTCTACAGAGCGGTCCGTTTGTGCGTCTCTACTGAGCGGTCCGTTTGTGCGTCTCTACAGAGCGGTCCGTTTGTGCGTCTCTACAGAGCGGTCCGTTTGTGCGTCTCTACAGAGCGGTCCGTTTGTGCGTCTCTACAGAGCGGTCCGTTTGTGCGTCTCTACAGAGCGGTCCGTTTGTGCGTCTCTACTGAGCGGTCCGTTTGTGCGTCTCTACTGAGCGGTCCGTTTGTGCGTCTCTACTGAGCGGTCCGTTTGTGCGTCTCTACAGAGCGGTCCGTTTGTGCGTCTCTACAGAGCGGTCCGTTTGTGCGTCTCTAGAGCGGTCCGTTTGTGCGTCTCTACAGAGCGGTCCGTTTGTGCGTCTCTACTGAGCGGTCCGTTTGTGCGTCTCTACTGAGCGGTCCGTTTGTGCGTCTCTACAGAGCGGTCCGTTTGTGCGTCTCTACAGAGCGGTCCGTTTGTGCGTCTCTACAGAGCGGTCCGTTTGTGCGTCTCTACAGAGCGGTCCGTTTGTGCGTCTCTACAGAGCGGTCCGTTTGTGCGTCTCTACAGAGCGGTCCGTTTGTGCGTCTCTACAGAGCGGTCCGTTTGTGCGTCTCTACTGAGCGGTCCGTTTGTGCGTCTCTACAGAGCGGTCCGTTTGTGCGTCTCTACTGAGCGGTCCGTTTGTGCGTCTCTACTGAGCGGTCCGTTTGTGCGTCTCTACAGAGCGGTCCGTTTGTGCGTCTCTACAGAGCGGTCCGTTTGTGCGTCTCTACAGAGCGGTCCGTTTGTGCGTCTCTACAGAGCGGTCCGTTTGTGCGTCTCTACAGAGCGGTCCGTTTGTGCGTCTCTACAGAGCGGTCCGTTTGTGCGTCTCTACAGAGCGGTCCGTTTGTGCGTCTCTACAGAGCGGTCCGTCTCTACAGAGCGGTCCGTTTGTGCGTCTCTACAGAGCGGTCCGTTTGTGCGTCTCTACAGAGCGGTCCGTTTGTGCGTCTCGGTCGTTTGTGCGTCTCTACGGTCGTTTGTGCGTCTCTACAGAGCGGTCCGTTTGTGCGTCTCTACTGAGCGGTCCGTTTGTGCGTCTCTACGAGCGGTCCGTTTGTGCGTCTCTACTGAGCGGTCCGTTTGTGCGTCTCTACTGAGCGGTCCGTTTGTGCGTCTCTACAGAGCGGTCCGTTTGTGCGTCTCTACTGAGCGGTCCGTTTGTGCGTCTCTACAGAGCGGTCCGTTTGTGCGTCTCTACAGAGCGGTCCGTTTGTGCGTCTCTACAGAGCGGTCCGTTTGTGCGTCTCTACAGAGCGGTCCGTTTGTGCGTCTCTACTGAGCGGTCCGTTTGTGCGTCTCTACAGAGCGGTCCGTTTGTGCGTCTCTACTGAGCGGTCCGTTTGTGCGTCTCTACTGAGCGGTCCGTTTGTGCGTCTCTACAGAGCGGTCCGTTTGTGCGTCTCTACTGAGCGGTCCGTTTGTGCGTCTCTACAGAGCGGTCCGTTTGTGCGTCTCTACTGAGCGGTCCGTTTGTGCGTCTCTACAGAGCGGTCCGTTTGTGCGTCTCTACAGAGCGGTCCGTTTGTGCGTCTCTACTGAGCGGTCCGTTTGTGCGTCTCTACAGAGCGGTCCGTTTGTGCGTCTCTACAGAGCGGTCCGTTTGTGCGTCTCTACAGAGCGGTCCGTTTGTGCGTCTCTACAGAGCGGTCCGTTTGTGCGTCTCTACTGAGCGGTCCGTTTGTGCGTCTCTACAGAGCGGTCCGTTTGTGCGTCTCTACAGAGCGGTCGTTTGTGCGTCTCTACAGAGCGGTCCGTTTGTGCGTCTCTACTGAGCGGTCCGTTTGTGCGTCTCTACTGAGCGGTCCGTTTGTGCGTCTCTACGAGCGGTCCGTTTGTGCGTCTCTACAGAGCGGTCCGTTTGTGCGTCTCTACAGAGCGGTCCGTTTGTGCGTCTCTACAGAGCGGTCCGTTTGTGCGTCTCTACAGAGCGGTCCGTTTGTGCGTCTCTACAGAGCGGTCCGTTTGTGCGTCTCTACAGAGCGGTCCGTTTGTGCGTCTCTACAGAGCGGTCCGTTTGTGCGTCTCTACAGAGCGGTCCGTTTGTGCGTCTCTACAGAGCGGTCCGTTTGTGCGTCTCTACTGAGCGGTCCGTTTGTGCGTCTCTACTGAGCGGTCCGTTTGTGCGTCTCTACAGAGCGGTCCGTTTGTGCGTCTCTACTGAGCGGTCCGTTTGTGCGTCTCTACTGAGCGGTCCGTTTGTGCGTGCGTCTCTACTGAGCGGTCCGTTTGTGCGTCTCTACTGAGCGGTCCGTTTGTGCGTCTCTACAGAGCGGTCCGTTTGTGCGTCTCTACGAGCGGCGTTTGTGCGTCTACTACTGAGCGGTCCGTTTGTGCGTCTCTACAGAGCGGTCCGTTTGTGCGTCTCTACAGAGCGGTCCGTTTGTGCGTCTCTACAGAGCGGTCCGTTTGTGCGTCTCTACAGAGCGGTCCGTTTGTGCGTCTCTACTGAGCGGTCCGTTTGTGCGTCTCTACAGAGCGGTCCGTTTGTGCGTCTCTACTGAGCGGTCCGTTTGTGCGTCTCTACTGAGCGGTCCGTTTGTGCGTCTCTACTGAGCGGTCCGTTTGTGCGTCTCTACAGAGTGGTCCGTTTGTGCGTCTCTACGGAGCGGTCCGTTTGTGCGTCTCTACTGAGCGGTCCGTTTGTGCGTCTCTACAGAGCGGTCCGTTTGTGCGTCTCTACTGAGCGGTCCGTTTGTGCGTCTCTACTGAGCGGTCCGTTTGTGCGTCTCTACAGAGCGGTCCGTTTGTGTGTCTCTACTGAGCGGTCCGTTTGTGCGTCTCTACTGAGCGGTCCGTTTGTGCGTCTCTACAGAGCGGTCCGTTTGTGCGTCTCTACTGAGCGGTCCGTTTGTGCGTCTCTACTGAGCGGTCCGTTTGTGCGTCTCTACAGAGCGGTCCGTTTGTGCGTCTCTACAGAGCGGTCCGTTTGTGCGTCTCTACTGAGCGGTCCGTTTGTGCGTCTCTACTGAGTGTGCGTTTTGACGATAGACTTTGCATTGAAAGCAAACGCACCATTAATAACTCACTGCACGTGTTCAGAAAAAAATACTTATAAAAATGTTTAATTATGCAATAAAGATTTTTACTTTGTCTTGTGTTTCTTTTTACCGAATCTCAGACATTGATGCCAAGAGAGAGAGATACTTAAATCCTGTGCGTTTACCTGAACGAAGAGCCACACGGATGAATACGTGGTAATTTAAAGTAGTACTAGAATGTAATATGCTGCTATCCAGAATATATAACTACAATATGTGTTTATAATATTTCAGGTGTTCATTTTGACATGTTCAGATGAATTATGTAAAAAAATAGCTTTGAAGTCGCACTTTTTCACTTCCGCATAGAAACACTAGGGGGCGCCAAAATGGCGGCGATGACGTAGAAGGACTAGAGCCCTGCACGGGCCTATTATCTGGGCCCGAGCCCGGCCCTGGCCCGAGGGGGTGGCCTCCCAGCCCGGCCTGGCCCGATATGGTTTCTGAATTTTCAGGCCCGAAACCCGCATCAAGCCCAACTTATTTTATTTTTTTTGTAACCTCCCATAACAATGTTTAGCGTAGTATATAGTGCCGCACTGATATGAACACAGACTTAGCCAGAGGGGGCGGAGTTATACATGGTACAGCTGTATGATACACAGCTGTATGATACACAGCTGTATGATACACAGCTGTATGATACACAGCTGTAGGATACACAGCTGTATGATACACAGCTGTATGATACACAGCTGTATGATACACAGCTGTATGATACACAGCTGTATGATACACAGCTGTATGATACACAGATGTATGATACACAGCTGTAGGATACACAGCTGTATGATACACAGCTGTATGATACACAGCTGTATGATACACAGCTGTATGATACACAGATGTATGATACACAGCTGTATGATACACAGATGTATGATACACAGCTGTATGATACACAGCTGTATGATACACAGCTGTATGATACACAGCTGTATGATACACAGATGTATGATACACAGCTGTATGATACACAGCTGTATGATACACAGCTGTATGATACACAGATGTATGATACACAGCTGTATGATACACAGCTGTATGATACACAGCTGTATGATACACGGATGTATGATACACAGCTGTATGATACACAGCTGTATGATACACAGCTGTATGATACACAGATGTATGATACACAGATGTATGATACACAGCTGTATGATACACAGCTGTAGGATACACAGCTGTATGATACACAGCTGTAGGATACACAGCTGTATGATACACAGCTGTATGATACACAGCTGTATGATACACAGCTGTAGGATACACAGCTGTAGGATACACAGCTGTATGATACACAGCTGTATGATACACAGCTGTATGATACACAGCTGTAGGATACACAGCTGTATGATACACAGCTGTATGATACACAGCTGTATGATACACAGATGCTGCAACACACCTGTAAGTAACGCTATGTGTCGTCAATGACAACACTACACAGAACAACAAACACTACAGTGTGATAGAACGCTATATTCAGTGGGTGCGTTCGTAAATCGATTCTGCCGCTCTGAAAATGAAGAGCCCGAGCCCGGCCCGAGGTCATTATGCGGTCATCGGCCCGAAGCCCGGCCCTCGGGCTGTCGGGGCCCTCGGGCTGTCGGGGCCCTCGGGCTGTCGGGGCCCTCGGGCTGTCGGGGCTGTCGGGGCCCTCAGGCTGTCGGGGCCCTCGGGCTGTCGGGGCCCTCGGGCTGTCGGGGCTGTCGGGGTCCTCAGGCTGTCGGGGCCCTCGGGCTGTCGGGGCTGTCGGGGCCCTCAGGCTGTCGGGGCCCTCGGGCTGTCGGGGCTGTCGGGGCCCTCAGGCTGTCGGGGCCCTCGGGCTGTCGGGGCCCTCGGGCTGTCGGGGCCCTCGGGCTGTCGGGGCTGTCGGGGCCCTCAGGCTGTCGGGGCCCTCGGGCTGTCGGGGCCCTCGGGCTGTCGGGGCCCTCGGGCTGTCGGGGCTGTCGGGGCCCTCAGGCTGTCGGGGCCCTCGGGCTGTCGGGGCCCTCAGGCTGTCGGGGCCCTCGGGCTGTCGGGGCCCTCGGGCTGTCGGGGCTCGGGGCCCTCGGGCTGTCGGGGCCCTCGGGCCAAGGGCTCAAGTGCAGAGCTCTAAGAAGGACCTCTCACAGCAGCAGCAGCAGTCTGGGCTGAATCTGTAGAGGTTTCACTGTCATCTGAACAAGGTATAAACATATTTACATCCGTTTGTACATAATACTGTTCAACTCTTTTTTTTAATCAAAATAACTTGAATTAACCCTTGTATTATGTTAAGGGTCAATTTGACCCATTTCAGTTTTTATGTTGATCAAAGTACTGGTTATCCTTTCTTTTTCTTGCTGAAATTTGGTGACTTTTCCTCATCTAGGGTCATGAACTGGTGTGTAAAATCTGGACACTTTGATGTGTAGTGGAATGTCTGGGCAGAGTTTGTATACAAAGATGATGTTGCGGGTCATTTTGACCCAGACGCTTTAATGTGGGTAAATAGTTGTTCAGATCCAAAAAAACATGTCTCTTTGACATTGTATTTTGATTGCCTCTAAGACCCAGAGCCAGGTGTGTGAAGAGAGGGAACTTTCTCACACTTGTCCTAGTCACTGTTCTCATGTCATCTCTTTTGCCTAGCGTACATCGGACTGGCAACTGAATATATCCGTCGCCTTTGAGTTGCTGCCCCGCACACATCGACAATCTGGCGAAAACGGGCAACTCCTGTATCAGGCCAGTCTCGGGAATAACAGCGCGTACATCGACAGCAACTGGCCTCAACTACAGTGTGTTTTCTGACATAAACTATAGAGGGCGCAATACACGCAATACACACATGTTGTTGGAGCACATCGGGTCATATCTCCGGATCTGAGTAAAACTAGTTGCCGAAAAGTAGAACACGGGCGACTGACTGAAACTGGAGATTGACTGTTTATCTCCAGTTGTAAGAGCGCTCACATCGACCGATTTCAACTGATCATCTACTCTCAGTTGCCAAAAGCCGCCTTCAACTAGTTGTCTCCAGTTACTCTGTCCATGTACGCTAGGCTTTAGACAAACTCACCAAAAATGAGTTCCAGAAGGATGACATCTGAGGAAGCTTTATCACAGATTTTTAACTGGGATAATGATGTAGAGGAAGAGATTTCAGAAACAGAGGACAATGTTATTGCTGATCCAGATTGTCAATTTTCCTACAATAAGGAGGATTCAGAGGACGAATCTTTGGTCAAGGAAAGAAGGAAGAAAGGAAGGAAGAGAAAAGAAGGGAATAGAGGAGGATGAACAGAGAGAAGGAAAACAGGATGAGAAAAAAGAAGGAGAAAGCATGGCGGGAGGAAAGAAGGAGGGAAGAATTGTCATTTTGACCCAAGAGGAGGACAAGAAGATTAGACTAAATATTTCTTAAATATAGTGTTGGAATTAAAAATGTATTGTATGTCTAAATTTTGATATAACCTAAAATAAAGTTGTTATTGGTTTAACCTGTTTTCTTGACTGTTTTGAGTGCATTTACACAGTATGGGTCAAATTGACCCGCAACATAATCAATGTCATTTTTTTTCAACATAATACAAGGGTTAAATAAATATTTTACTTTTATGAACCTCCTTACACCTGTCTCCCCCTCCTTACACCTGTCTCCCCCTCCTTACACCTGTCTCACCCTCCTTACACCTGTCTCCCCCTCCTTACACCTGTCTCACCCTCTTTACACCTGTCTCCCCCTCCTTACACCTGTCTCCCCCTCCTTACACCTGTCTCCCCCTCCTTACACCTGTCTCACCCTCCTTACACCTGTCTCACCCTCCTTACACCTGTCTCCCCCTCCTTACACCTGTCTCCCCCTCCTTACACCTGTCTCACCCTCCTTACACCTGTCTCCCCCTCCTTACACCTGTCTCACCCTCCTTACACCTGTCTCCCCCTCCTTACACCTGTCTCACCCTCTTTACACCTGTCTCCCCCTCCTTACACCTGTCTCCCCCTCCTTACACCTGTCTCCCCCTCCTTACACCTGTCTCACCCTCCTTACACCTGTCTCCCCCTCCTTACACCTGTCTCCCCCTCCTTACACCTGTCTCACCCTCCTTACACCTGTCTCCCCCTCCTTACACCTGTCTCACCCTCCTTACACCTGTCTCACCCTCCTTACACCTGTCTCACCCTCTTTACACCTGTCTCCCCCTCCTTACACCTGTCTCCCCCTCCTTACACCTGTCTCACCCTCCTTACACCTGTCTCCCCCTCCTTACACCTGTCTCACCCTCCTTACACCTGTCTCACCCTCCTTACACCTGTCTCACCCTCCTTACACCTGTCTCCCCCTCCTTACACCTGTCTCCCCCTCCTTACACCTGTCTCCCCCTCCTTACACCTGTCTCCCCCTCCTTACACCTGTCTCCCCCTCCTTACACCTGTCTCCCCCTCCTTACACCTGTCTCCCCCTCCTTACACCTGTCTCACCCTCCTTACACCTGTCTCCCCCCCTCCTTACACCTGTCTCCCCCTCCTTACACCTGTCTCACCCTCCTTACACCTGTCTCACCCTCCTTACACCTGTCTCCCCCTCCTTACACCTGTCTCCCCCTCCTTACACCTGTCTCCCCCTCCTTACACCTGTCTCACCCTCCTTACACCTGTCTCCCCCTCCTTACACCTGTCTCACCCTCCTTACACCTGTCTCACCCTCCTTACACCTGTCTCCCCCTCCTTACACCTGTCTCCCCCTCCTTACACCTGTCTCCCCCTCCTTACACCTGTCTCCCCCTCCTTACACCTGTCTCACCCTCCTTACACCTGTCTCCCCCTCCTTACACCTGTCTCACCCTCTTTACACCTGTCTCCCCCTCCTTACACCTGTCTCCCCCTCCTTACACCTGTCTCACCCTCTTTACACCTGTCTCACCCTCCTTACACCTGTCTCACCCTCCTTACACCTGTCTCCCCCTCCTTACACCTGTCTCACCCTCCTTACACCTGTCTCCCCCTCCTTACACCTGTCTCCCCCTCCTTACACCTGTCTCCCCCTCCTTACACCTGTCTCCCCCTCCTTACACCTGTCTCCCCCTCCTTACACCTGTCTCACCCTCTTTACACCTGTCTCCCCCTCCTTACACCTGTCTCACCCTCCTTACACCTGTCTCACCCTCCTTACACCTGTCTCTCCCTCCTTACACCTGTCTCCCCCTCCTTACACCTGTCTCACCCTCCTTACACCTGTCTCCCCCTCCTTACACCCGTCTCACCTGTCTCCCCCTCCTTACACCTGTCTCCCCCTCCTTACACCTGTCTCACCCTCCTTACACCTGTCTCCCCCTCCTTACACCTGTCTCACCCTCCTTACACCTGTCTCCCCCTCCTTACACCTGTCTCACCCTCCTTACACCTGTCTCCCCCTCCTTACACCCGTCTCACCTGTCTCCCCCTCCTTACACCTGTCTCCCCCTCCTTACACCTGTCTCCCCCTCCTTACACCTGTCTCACCCTCCTTACACCTGTCTCCCCCTCCTTACACCTGTCTCACCCTCCTTACACCTGTCTCCCCCTCCTTACACCTGTCTCACCCTCCTTACACCTGTCTCCCCCTCCTTACACCTGTCTCACCCTCCTTACACCTGTCTCACCCTCCTTACACCTGTCTCACCCTCCTTACACCTGTCTCACCCTCCTTACACCTGTCTCACCCTCTTTACACCTGTCTCCCCCTCCTTACACCTGTCTCACCCTCCTTACACCTGTCTCACCCTCTTTACACCTGTCTCACCCTCCTTACACCTGTCTCCCCCTCCTTACACCTGTCTCACCCTCCTTACACCCGTCTCACCCTCCTTACACCTGTCTCACCCTCCTTACACCTGTCTCACCCTCTTTACACCTGTCTCCCCCTCCTTACACCTGTCTCACCCTCCTTACACCTGTCTCACCCTCCTTACACCTGTCTCACCCTCCTTACACCTGTCTCCCCCTCCTTACACCTGTCTCACCCTCCTTACACCTGTCTCCCCCTCCTTACACCTGTCTCCCCCTTCTTACACCTGTCTCACCCTTCTTACACCTGTCTCCCCCTCCTTACACCTGTCTCCCCCTCCTTACACCTGTCTCCCCCTCCTTACACCTGTCTCTCCCTCCTTACACCTGTCTCACCCTCCTTACACCTGTCTCCCCCTCCTTACACCTGTCTCACCCTCCTTACACCTGTCTCCCCCTCCTTACACCTGTCTCCCCCCTCCTTACACCTGTCTCACCCTCCTTACACCTGTCTCACCCTCCTTACACCTGTCTCACCCTCCTTACACCTGTCTCTCCCTCCTTACACCTGTCTCCCCCTCCTTACACCTGTCTCCCCCTCTTTACACCTGTCTCACCCTCCTTACACCTGTCTCACCCTCCTTACACCTGTCTCCCCCTCTTTACACCGGTCTCCCCCTCCTTACACCTGTCTCACCCTCCTTACACCTGTCTCCCCCTCCTTACACCTGTCTCCCCCTCTTTACACCTGTCTCCCCCTCCTTACACCTGTCTCACCCTCCTTACACCTGTCTCCCCCTCCTTACACCTGTCTCCCCCTCCTTACACCTGTCTCACCCTCCTTACACCTGTCTCACCCTCCTTGCACCAATCTCACCCTCCTTACACCTGTCTCACCCTCCTTACACCTGTCTCCCCCTCCTTACACCTGTGTCCCCCTCCTTACACCTGTCTCCCCCTCCTTACACCTGTCTCACCCTCTTTACACCTGTCTCCCCCTCCGTACACCTGTCTCCCCCTCCTTACACCTGTCTCCCCCTCCTTACACCTGTCTCCCCCTCCTTACACCTGTCTCCCCCTCCTTACACCTGTCTCCCCCTCCTTACACCTGTGTCCCCCTCCTTACACCTGTCTCCCCCTCCTTACACCTGTCTCACCCTCCTTACACCTGTCTCACCCTCCTTACACCTGTCTCCCCCTCCTTACACCTGTCTCCCCCTCCTTACACCTGTCTCCCCCTCCTTACACCTGTGTCCCCCTCCTTACACCTGTCTCCCCCTCCTTACACCTGTCTCACCCTCCTTACACCTGTCTCACCCTCCTTACACCTGTCTCCCCCTCCTTACACCTGTCTCCCCCTCCTTACACCTGTCTCACCCTCCTTACACCTGTCTCCCCCTCCTTACACCTGTCTCCCCCTCCTTACACCTGTCTCACCCTCTTTACACCTGTCTCCCCCTCCGTACACCTGTCTCCCCCTCCTTACACCTGTCTCCCCCTCCTTACACCTGTCTCCCCCTCCTTACACCTGTCTCACCCTCCTTACACCTGTCTCCCCCTCCTTACACCTGTCTCCCCCTCCTTACACCTGTCTCCCCCTCCTTACACCTGTCTCCCCCCCTCCTACACCTGTCTCACCCTCTCCTTACACCTGTCTCACCCTCCTTACACCTGTCTCCCCCTCCTTACACCTGTCTCACCCTCTTTACACCTGTCTCCCCCTCCTTACACCTGCCTCACCCTCCTTACACCTGTCTCACCCTCCACCCTCCTTACACCTGTCTCACCCCTCCTTACACCTGTCTCACCCTCCTTACACCTGTCTCCCCCTCCTTACACCTGTCTCACTGCCTCCGCTTACACCTGTCTCCCCCTCCTTACACCTGTCTCCCCCTCCTTACACCTGTCTCCCCCTCCTACACCCGTCCTTACACCTGTCTCCCCCTCCCTTACACCTGTCTCCCCTCCTTACACCTGTCTCCCCCTCCTTACACGTGCTCCCTCCATTACACCTGTCTCCCCCTCCTTACACCTGTCTCACCTCCTTACACCTGTCTCCCCCTCCTTACACCTGTCTCCCCTCCTTACACCTGTCTCCCCCTCCTTACACCTGTCTCACCCTCCTTACCATACACTGTCTCACCCCTCCTTACACCTGTCTCCCCCTCTTACACCTGTCTCACCCTCCTTACACCTGTCTCCCCTCCTTACACCTGTCTCACCCTCCTCCTACACCTGTCTCCCTCCTTACACCTGTCTCACCCTCCTTCCACCTGTCTCCCTCCTTACACCTGTCTCACCCTCCTTACACCTGTCTCACCCCACTCCTTACCACCTGTCTCACCCTCCTTTACACTCTGTCTCCCCCTCCTTACACCGTTCACCTGTCTCCCCCTCCTTACACCTGTCTCACCCTCCTTACACCTGTCTCCCCCTCCTTACACCTGTCTCACCTCCTTACACCTGTCTCCCCCTCCTTACACCTGTCTCACCCTCCTTACACCTGTCTCCCCCTCCTTACACCTGTCTCACCCTCCTTACACCTGTCTCCCCCTCCTTACACCTGTCTCACCCTCCTTACACCTGTCTCTCCCTCCTTACACCTGTCTCACCCTCCTTACACCTGTCTCCCATCCTTACACCTGTCTCCCCCTCCTTACACCTGTCTCCCCACTCCTTACACCTGTCTCCACCCTCTCTTACACCTGTCTCCCCTCCTTACACCTGTCTCCCCTCCTTACACCTGTCTCCCACCTTACACCCGTCCTTACACCTGTCTCACCTCTTACACCTTTTCACACCTGTCTCCCCTCCTTACACTGTCTCCCCTCTTACACATGTCTCACCCTCATTACACCTTACCCTTTACCTGTCTCCCCCTCCTGTACCTCCTTACACTGTCTCCCCCTCTTTACACCTGTCTCCCCCTCCTTACACCTGTCTCCCCTCCTTACCACCTGTCTCCCCCTCCTTACACCTGTCTCCCCTCGTCACCTGTTCCCCCTCCTTACACCTGTCTCACCTCCATACACCTGTCTACCTCTTTACACCTGTCTCCCCCTCCTTACACCTGTCTCCCCCTCTTACACCTGTCTCCCCCTCCTTACCCTCCTTACTCTGTCTCCCCCTCCTTACACCTGTCTCCCCCTCCTTACACCTGTCTCACCCTCCTTACACCTGTCTCACCCTCCTTACACCTTGTCTCCCCCTCCTTTACACCTGTCTCCCCTCCTTACACCTGTCTCCCCTACTTTAAACCTGTCTCACCCTCCTTACACCTGTCTCACCCTCCTTACACGTGTCTCCCCCTCCTTACACCTGTCTCTCCCTCCTTACACCTGTCTCCCCCTCCTTACACCTGTCTCACCCTCCTTACACCTGCTCATCCCTCCTTACACCTGTCGGCTCACCTCCTTACACCTGTCTCACCCTCCTTACACTGTCTCACCCTCCTTACACCTGTCTCACCCCTCCTTACACCTGTCTAACCCTCCTTACACCTGTCTCCCCCTCCTTAACCTGTCTCCCCATCTTTACACTGTCTCCACCCCTGTTCCCCTTACACCTGTCTCCCCTCCTTACACCTGTCTCCCCCTTACACCTGTCTCACCCTCCTTACACCTGTCTCCCCCTCCTTACACCTGTCTCACCCTCCTTACACCTGTCTCCCCTCCTTACACCTGTCTCACCCGTCCTTACACCTGTCTCCCCTCCTACACCTGTCCCCTCCTTACACCTGTCTCCCCCTCCTTACACCTGTCTCACCCCTCCTTACACCTGTCTCCCCCTCCTTACACCTGTCTCCCCCTCCTTACACCTGTCTCACCCTCCTTACACCTGTCTCACCCTCCTTACACCTGTCTCCCCTCCTTACACCTGTCTCCCCCTCCTTACACCTGTCTCACCCTCCTTACACCTGTCTCCCCCTCCTTACACCTGTCTCACCCTCCTTACACCTGTCTCCCCCTCCTTACACCTGTCTCACCCTCCTTACACCTGTCTCACCCTCCTTACACCTGTCTCACCCTCCTTACACCTGTCTCCCCTCCTTACACCTGTCTCACCCTCCTTACACCTGTCTCACCCTCCTTACACCTGTCTCACCTTACACCTGTCTCCCCCTCCTTACACTGTCTCTCTTTTACACTGTCCCTCCTTACACGCCCTGTCTCTCCCCTCCTTACACCATGTCTCACCCTCTTTACACCTGTCTCCCCCTCCTCCCTCATTACACAGACACCCTGATCTCACCCCTCCTTACACCTGTCTCGACCCTCCTTACACCTGTCTCCCCCACCTACCTCCTTTTACACCTGTCTCACCCCTCCTTACACCTGTCTCACCCTCCCTTACACCTGTCTCCCCTTTTACACTGTCTCCCCCTCCTTACACCTGTCTCCCCCTCCTTACACCTGTCTCACCTCTTTACACCTGTCTCACCCTCCTTACACCTGTCTCCCCTCCTTACACTACTGTCTCACCCTCTTCTTACACCTGTCTCACCCTCCTTACACCTGTCTCCCCCTCCTTACACCTGTCTCACCCTCCTTACACCTGTCTCCCCCTCCTTACACGTGTCTCCCCCTCCTTACACCTGTCAATCAATCAATCAAGTTTATTTATAAAGCACAATTCATGCAATGCAGCCCAAAGTGCTTCACAAGAACACAAGATCATACACATTTACAAACATTTTAAAACACATAAAACATAGTATAAAATAATAACAAAAACAATAATAATTGTTGCATAAAAATAAACATTTCAAACTGAATTTCAGAATTAAAAACGGTATAAAAAGCTCCAATATATAAAAAGTCAGTCATATACACAGCTAAAAAGAACGGTTTTCAGCTTAGACTTAAATAATGCTAAAGGAGGCCTCCGTACATCCTCAGGAAGGCTGTTCCAGTCCCTAGTATTTTCAGGCGGCATAGTACAGTCCCTGTGCCTGCTCAGCCTCTCCATGCCGTAGTTCCTGACTCTGGGCACCCAGGAGTCCAGCAGCCAGTCCCTGTGCTCCTCAGAGTCCCAGCAGGAGTCCAGTCCCTGTTGCTCCTCAGAGTCCCAGCAGGAGTCCAGTCCCTGTGCTCCTCAGAGTCCCAGCAGGAGTCCAGTCCCTGTCGCTCCTCAGAGTCCCAGCAGGAGGCCCCCCCTCCAGTCCCTGTGCTCCTCAGAGTCCCAGCAGGAGTCCAGTCCCTGTGCTCCTCAGAGTCCCAGCAGGAGTCCAGTCCCTGTGCTCCTCAGAGTCCCAGCAGGAGTCCAGTCCCTGTGCTCCTCAGAGTCCCAGCAGGAGGTCCAGTCCCTGTGCTCCTCAGAGTCCCAGCAGGAGTCCAGTCCCTGTGCTCCTCAGAGTCCCAGCAGGAGTCCAGTCCCTGTGCTCCTCAGAGTCCCAGCAGGAGTCCAGTCCCTGTGCTCCTCAGAGTCCCAGCAGGAGTCCAGTCCCTGTGCTCCTCAGAGTCCCCAGCAGGAGTCCAGTCCCTGTGCTCCTCAGAGTCCCAGCAGGAGTCCAGTCCCTGTGCTCCTCAGAGTCCCAGCAGGAGTCCAGTCCCTGTGCTCCTCAGAGTCCAGCAGGAGTCCAGTCCCTGTGCTCCTCAGAGTCCGGGCTGGTTCATATGGGACGCTAACATGTCACTAATATATTTTGGTGCGAGGCCATGGAGAGACTTGTAACAAGCAGAGCTGTTTTAAAGTCCATTCTCTGAGCCACAGGAAGCCAGTGCAGAGACCTGAGGACTGGACTAATGTGGTCGTACTTCCTGGTTCTAGTCAGGACTAATGTGGTCGTACTTCCTGGTTCTAGTCAGGACTAATGTGGTCGTACTTCCTGGTTCTAGTCAGGACTAATGTGGTCGTACTTCCTGGTTCTAGTCAGGACTAATGTGGTCTCGTACTTCCTGGTTCTAGTCAGGACTAATGTGGTCGTACTCCTGGTTCTAGTCAGGACTAATGTGGTCGTACTTCCTGGTTCTAGTCAGGACTAATGTGGTCGTACTTCCTGGTTCTAGTCAGGACTAATGTGGTCGTACTTCCTGGTTCTAGTCAGGACTAATGTGGTCGTACTTCCTGGTTCTAGTCAGGACTAATGTGGTCGTACTTCCTGGTTCTAGTCAGGACTAATGTGGTCGTACTTCCTGGTTCTAGTCAGGACTAATGTGGTCGTACTTCCTGGTTCTAGTCAGGACTAATGTGGTCGTATTTCATGGTTCTAGTCAGGACTAATGTGCTCGTACTTCCTGGTTCTTGTCAGGACTAATGTGGTCGTACTTCCTGGTTCTAGTCAGGACTAATGTGATCGTACTTCCTGGTTCTAGTCAGGACTATGTGGTCGTCGGTTCTAGTCACTTGTGGTCGTACTTCCTGGTTCCTAGTCAGGACTAATGTGGTCGTACTTCCTGGTTCTTGTCAGGACTAATGTGGTCGTACTTCCTGGTTCTAGTCAGGACTAATGTGGTCGTACTTCCTGGTTCTAGTCAGGACTAATGTGGTCGTACTTCCTGGTTCTAGTCAGGACTAATGTGGTCGTACTTCCTGGTTCTAGTCGGGACTAATGTGGTCGTACTTCCTGGTTCTAGTCAGGACTAATGTGGTCGTACTTCCTGGTTCTAGTCAGGACTAATATGGTCGTACTTCCTGGGTTTTGATCACGTGTCCAGTGGGCGGAGCCATACAGCAGCGGGGGTCAGGAAGTGTGTCGTCCTGTTCAAAACAAAGCGGCTATGCTAACGAACTTCATATGATGACAAAATCAAATTACATGTAGGGTTTGACCCGTATAGTGTAGAAACAAACGAATGGTCGAGTTGGAACATTTACCGGCTGTTCAGGCGATGGACGTCATTAATTATCTCGTCCTCCAGACTTCTTTTTATACAGCGAACCAAATGAAAGCTTTCAAAAGCTTGGAAGCTTATAATTACTTTGTTTCCGGTTGGGTTAACCATTTGGGAAGCAAAGAAGCAAAAAATGATTCCCGCATTGTTTTTGCACAGGTGGGTAGTGCTTTTGTGGTATGTATTGGTCTATATGAGCTAACGCTAACTTTTGTGGTACGTATTGGTCTATATGAGCTAACGCTAACTTTTGTGGTACGTATTGGTCTATATGAGCTAACGCTAACTTTTGTGGTACGTATTGGTCTATATGAGCTAACGCTAACTTTTGTGGTACGTATTGGTCTATATGAGCTAACGCTAACTTTTGTGGTACGTATTGGTCTATATGAGCTAACGCTAACTTTTGTGGTACGTATTGGTCTATATGAGCTAACGCTAACTTTTGTGGTACGTATTGGTCTATATGAGCTAACGCTAACTTTTGTGGTACGTATTGGTCTATATGAGCTAACGCTAACTTTTGTGGTATGTATTGGTCTATATGAGCTAACGCTAACTTTTGTGGTACGTATTGGTCTATATGAGCTAACGCTAACTTTTGTGGTACGTATTGGTCTATATGAGCTAACGCTAACTTTTGTGGTATGTATTGGTCTATATGAGCTAACGCTAACTTTTGTGGTACGTATTGGTCTATATGAGCTAACGCTAACTTTTGTGGTACGTATTGGTCTATATGAGCTAACGCTAACTTTTGTGGTATGTATTGGTCTATATGAGCTAACGCTAACTTTTGTGGTATGTATTGGTCTATATGAGCTAACGCTAACTTTTGTGGTATGTATTGGTCTATATGAGCTAACGCTAACTTTTGTGGTATGTATTGGTCTATATGAGCTAACGCTAACGTGATGCTATCCAAAATACATAACGGACATAATTTTCCATCTGCAAACTCAGTTAAGTTCAAGTGAAATGTTGATGCTTACTGTATTTCTTAATGTAGGTCAACCATTCGCAGAGATCATCTGAGAAACCTTTGAAAGCCTGGTTTGTAGCTAGAGAAAGTGGAGAGGTGGTCACAGCACATTGTGTGGCAGGGTACGACATTTCATTTGTTTCTTTCATTTGATGTATTTAAGCGGTAAATGATGCATTTGTTGGGTATTTTACAGTAAGCATACATGTGTGTTTGTATTGTTGATGCACCAGTATAGGCTACATACATAACTTTACATAATTACATTATATTGAATACATTGTTTTCCCTGTATGAGCACAACATGGAGCGAGAACAACACATGTATAATGTCCCTCTCATTCAGCATTGTTGTCATGTTTTGAATCTGATGAAATATACAATTCTATTAAACTAATTATACCACACTGCAACAGACCGACTATTGTTGCCAAAAAAACACTTTGACGGACGTGTCTGGGTTGATGCAGGATACGAAACAGAGACTTTTTCAAGTTTAACATCTGTATTTAATTTATCTTTA